GTTTAGACCTGGTTTAGACCTGGTTTAGACCTGGTTTAGTCCTGGTTTAGTCCTGGTTTAGTCCTGGTTTAGTCCTGGTTTAGTCCTCCTGGTTTAGACCTGGTTTTGGTTTAGTCCTGGTTTAGACCTGGTTTAGTAGTCCTGGTTTAGACCTGGTTTAGTCCTGGTTTAGACCTGGTTTAGACCTGGTTCCTGGTTTAGTCCTGGTTTAGAGTCCTGGTTTAGACCTGAGTCCTGGTTTAGACCTGGTTTAGTCCTGGTTTAGTCCTGGTTTAGTCCTGGTTTAGTCCTGGTTTAGTCCTGGTTTAGTCCTGGTTTAGTCCTGGTTTAGTCCTGGTTACCTGGTTTAGTCCTGGTTTAGACCTGGTTTAGACCTGGTTTAGACCTGGTTTAGACCTGGTTTAGACCTGGTTTCCTGGTTTAGTCCTGGTTTAGACCTAGAGACCTGGTTTAGACCTGGTTTAGACCTGGTTTAGACCTGGTTTAGACCTGGTTTAGTCCTGGTTTAGACCTCCTGGTTTAGACCTGGTTTAGTCCACCTGGTTTAGACCTGGTTTAGTCCTGGTTTAGACCTCCTGGTTTAGACCTGGTTTAGTCCTGGTTTAGACCTGGTTTAGTAGACCTGGTCCTGGTTTAGTCCTGGTTTAGACCTGACCTGGTTTAGTCCTGGTTTAGACCCCTGGTTTAGACCTGGTTTAGTCCTGGTTTAGACCTGGTTTAGACCTGGTTTAGACCTGGTTTAGACCTGGTTTAGTTGTTTAGTTTTAGTTTCAGTTGAGTTGATTTAAAGCCACAGGGACAGAGACGCATGAACCTGAACACGACACACGTTTGTCGTCTGTGTTCAGGTTCTTTCATTATATTTAAGCAGATCTCAGACTTCAGTTGTTCTTCTGTCAGACCTGAGCCGTGACGTTTGGGGTTTTCAGCTCCAGAAAATTACAAATATTTTTTACATAATAATTCTCAATTTTACCTTTTCGTAATTGGCCCAAATCTTGACTGTAAAAAAAAAAAAAAGAATTTATTTGATCAGTCGCCCCAGAGTGTCAGATGCCCTCCCCCCGTCCTAGGTCCAGGTCCAGGTCCAGGTCCTGGTCCTGGTCCTGGTCCTGGTCCTGGTCCTGGTCCTGGTCCAGGTCCAGGTCCTGGTCCTGGTCCTGGTCCTGGTCCTGGTCCTGGTCCTGGTCCTGGTCCTGGTCCTGGTCCTGGTCCTGGTCCTGCCCTCGATAAACAAAAGTCCAACGGCTCAAACTGAAATTGTTGTTTTATGTTGAAGCATCTTAAAGAAACAGACACACCCAGAACTCCACCAGACTAAACCAGGTCTAAACCAGGACTAAAACAGGACTAAACTAGGACTAAACTAGGTCTAAACCAGGTCCATGTGTGTGTTCTAGTCTCTGTGTCTTGTTCTTGTCCTGATCCAGTTCCAGATCGTTCTAAACACATTCAGAAAAAGTTCTTCTCTGTCCTGAAAATGTCCGGCTTTAGTCCGGCTTTAGTCCGGCTTTAGTCCGGCTTTAGTCCGGCTTTAGTCCGGCTTTAGTCCGGCTTTAGTCCGGCTTTAGTCCTCCGTGCTTTTGTTATTTAGTCCTGTTTTAGTCCCTGGTTTAGTCCTGCTTTAGTCCAGCTTTAGTCCTGGGTTAGTCCTGAGTTGGTCCTGGATTAGTCCTGCTTTAGTCCTAATTTAGTCCTAGTTTAGTCCTCCATGCTTTTGTTTTTTAGTCCCTGGTTTAGTCCCCGTTTTGGTCCCAGTTTTAGTCCTGCTGTAGTCCCTGGTTTAGTCCTGCTTTAGTCCCAGTTTTAGTCTTGGTTTAGTCCTGCTTTAGTCCTGTTTTAGTCCTGTTTTAGTCCTGGTTTACTTCTGCTTTAGCCCTGGTTTAGTCCTGGTTCAGTCCTGCTTTCATCCTTGTGTTTTAGTCCTGGTTCTACATCGTTTAATTTGACCACAAACTCGTCCAGGGTTCGGTTCAGCTTGGCTCTGGGTCTGGGACTGGGTCTGGGACTGGGTCTGGGTCTGGGTCTGGGTCTGGGTCTGGGTGGGTCTGGGTCTGGGACTGGGTCTGGGTCTGGGGGGACTGGGTCTGGGTCTGGGACTGGGTCTGGGACTCTGGGACTGGGTCTGGGACTGGGTCTGGGTCTGGGACTGGGTCTGGGTCTGGGACTGGGTCTGGGTCTGGGACTGGGTCTGGGACTGGGTCTGGGTCTGGGTCTGGGTCTGGGACTGGGTCTGGGTCTGGGTCTGGGACTGGGACTGGGTCTGTGGAGTCACTCAAGTCTTCAAATAAAACCGTGTGCATCAGTCGGTCCTGGAGCTAAAAATACTAAAGAAAAGATTAAATATAGACGTGATTTACGTCTGACTCTGACTCAGAACAATTCAGACAAAAACAGTCAAACCCGAGTGGATCCCTGGATTTAAAAAGGTCCGATCAGATTTTTGGATCAGAATGACTCAGAATCGTGACGTTTGTTTCAGGAGTTTATGATTTGCTGATGTGTTGTTATAGATTACATGTACTGTGTCTTTTTAAAACGATCAGTAATTAGTTATTAATCAGTCTAAAGATCATTTGTATTTATAAAGTTTTATTATGTTTTATGGAGACGCAGGTGAACGTGTCCGAACTGAAGAAAGTTTAATACAAATGATGTTTGTTAATGAATCAAAAGACAAAAAGACAGAAAGAAAGACACTTGTTTTGTAGTTAAACTTTAGAATTAACTACAAAAAAATTATGACGAAACATTTTCAAAACAGTCTGGAGTTTTAGGTTCAGTCCTGGTTTCATCCTGCTTTAGTCCTGGTTTAGTCCTGGTTTCATCCTGCTTTAGTCCTGGTTCAGTCCTGGTTTCATCCTGCTTTAGTCCTGGTCTGCTCCCCGGACTACTCCCTATTTTAGTCCTGGTTTAGTTCTGGTTTAGTTGTGATTTAGTCCCTGCTTTAGTCTTGGTTCAGTCCTGGTTCAGTTCTGCTTCTAGTCTCAGTTTAGACCTGGTTTAGTCCCTGGCTTTAGTATTTAGTTCCTAGTTTTAGTCCTGGTTTTATCCCTGATTCAGTCTTGGTTCAGTCCTGGTTTAGTCCTGGTTTAGTCCTGGTTGTAGTCTTAGTTTAGACGTGGTTTAGACCTGGTTTATTTCTGATTTTGTCCTGATTTGGTCCTGGCTGTAGTCCTAGATTAGTCCCGGTTTAGTCCTGGTTTAGTCCTGGTTCAGTCCTGGTTCAGTCCTGGTTCAGTCCTGGTTTAGTCCTGGTTTAGTACAGGGTTTAGTCCTGGTTTAGTCCTGGTTTAGTCCTAGTTTAGTCCTAGTTTAGTCCTGAGCCAGTCCTGGTTTAGTCCTGGTTTAGTTCTGGTTTAGTCCTGGTTTAGACCTGGTTTAGACCTGGTTTAGTCCTGGTTTAGACCTGGTTTAGACCTGGTTTAGACCTGGTTTAGTCCTGGTTTAGACCTGGTTTAGTCCTGGTTTAGTCCTGGTTTAGTCCTGGTTTAGTCCTGGTTTAGTCCTGGTTTAGACCTGGTTTAGACCTGGTTTAGACCTGGTTTAGACCTGGTTTAGTTCTGGTTTAGACCTGGTTTAGTTCTGGTTTAGACCTGGTTTAGACCTGGTTTAGTCCTAGTTCAGTCCTGGTTTAGACCTGGTTTAGACCTGGTTTAGACCTGGTTTAGTCCTGGTTTTAGTCCTGGTTTAGTCCTGGTTTAGTCCTGGTTTAGTCCTGGTTTAGACCTGGTTTAGTCCTGGTTTAGACCTGGTTTAGTCCTGGTCCTGTTTAGTCCTGGTTTTAGTCCTGAGCCAGTCCTGGTTTAGACCTGGTTTAGTTTGGTTAGTCCTGGTTTAGACCTGGTTTAGACCTGGTTTAGTCCTGGTTTAGTCCTGGTTTAGTCCTGGTTTAGTCTGGTTTTAGTCCTGGTTTAGTTCTGGTTTAGTCCTGGTTTAGTCCTGGTTTAGTCCTGGTTTAGTCCTGGTTTAGTAGTCCTGGTTTAGTTCCTGGTTTAGACCTGTTTAGACCTGGTTTAGACCTGGTTTAGTCCTGGTTTAGTCCTGGTTTAGTCCTGGTTTAGTCCTGGTTTAGTCCTGGTTTAGTCCTGGTTTTAGTCCTGGTTTAGTCCTGGTTTAGACCTGGTTTAGTTCTGGTTTAGTTCTGGTTTAGTCCTGGTTTAGTTCTGGTTTAGTCCTGGTTTAGTCCTGAGCCAGTCCTGGTTTAGTCCTGGTTTAGTTCCTGGTTTAGTCCTGAGTCCAGTCCTGGTTTTAGTTCCTGGTTTAGTTTCTGGTTTAGTCCTGGTTTAGTCCTGGTTTAGTTCTGGTTTAGTCCTGGTTTAGTCCTGAGCCAGTCCTGGTTTAGTCCTGGTTTAGTTCTGGTTTAGTCCTGGTTTAGTCCTGGTTTAGTTTCGCTCTTGAGGATAAATATTTTCTTTCTGAAAATCTCAAACTGAAATTCTGATCTTTGACCCTGACGTTTGTTTTATTTTAGTCGCAGTTTAATCACGATTATTCCAGTTAATCGATACAGTTAAGACTCTGAACCAAACATAAAAAAACAAAACACATAAACCCCCGTGAGAAAGAATAAATAAATAAATAAATAAACCGATTCTGATTTGATTTTCCACTCGGTTCGATTTCAATCCGGGTCAATGACAAATGAATAAAACATCAGTGAAACTCGACCTCGGCTCCACTTACACCTGTCTGCTCCAGTGCACCTGTCAATCCTGCACCTGTGCCTCTAAATGCACTTTACTTTACAATTGAAATATATCGATTAAAATTTGATTATTTTAGTTGAAAATCAAGAATTACGCCCCGTTTGTGCAGCTCAGCCCAACACCAACAACGAGCTCCAGATTTTACACTCGATATAAGATTTTTTACAGTTAAATCTCATGTTTATGGATAAATATGATTGTGTACTGATTATAACTGTTTAATTAAGTGAAATAAAAGAGAATTATTTGTGGAATTTCGGTGTTTTTAGCTCCAGAAGATGAAAAACTCACCTGCCAAGTGTTAGCAGCAGCAGCAGCATCCGACACCAAACACGGACATACGACGGTCCACATCCATGTTTATAGAGATTTGTTTGACTATGATTCACTTCCTGTCCGTCTCCAGGTGTTTATGGAGTGAAAATTTAATCCCCGAGAGTAAAAAGATGTAAAATCCAGCCTGAAGGTCCGCAGCGGAGACCGGAGGCGCTCGGGAAACTTCGGCTATCTTCGGCTCCCTTCGGCGCTGCTCTCGTTGCGGTTTGTCGCCGTTCAGTCCGGTTTAGCGCTGAAAAACTCAATATTTTGCGTTTTTTATGGAGTTTGTGGAGTGGTGCAGTGAGCCACACGTGTCCCCTCTCCGTACACGCCGTGACCTCCCCGGTACGGCCCGCTTTAGCCCGGTTTAGCTCGGTTTTAGGCCGGTTTGAAGCCCGGCGTGAGTCGTGTCCGCGCGCCGCGAGCTGCTGCTGAATCATCCAGTGCACGAGCCCAGCTGACTGTCACGTGACCGCTGTAAACACCACGCGGGGCCAAAGGGAAGACGTCATCGCTCGAGCGCAATTAAAATGAGCCGCGATTAAAATGAGCCGCGATTAAATGAGCCACTTTTAAAATCCAACTAAACAACAAGTCAAGTCCCTGAAAAAGATTCAACAAACATCTGAAGAACTGAACATTTCAAAAACCACAAACCAGGGCTTTACTGTAGTACTAATACTATAGTACAAATACTGTACTACTAATACTATAGTACAAATACTGTACTACTAATACTATAGTACAAATACTGTACTACTAATACTATAGTACAAATACTGTACTACTAATACTGTACTACAAATACTGTACTACTAATACTATAGTACAAATACTGTACTACTAATACTATAGTACAAATACTGTACTACTAATACTGTACTACAAATACTGTAGTACTAATACTATAGTACAAATACTGTAGTACTAATACTATAGTACAAATACTGAACTACTAATACTGTACTACAAATACTGTACTACTAATACTGTACTACAAATACTGTACTACTAATACTGTACTACAAATACTGTACTACTAATACTGTACTACTAATACTGTACTACTAATACTGTACTACTAATACTGTACTACAAATACTGTACTACTAATACTGTACTACAAATAATACTAATACTATAGTACAAATACTGTACTACTAATACTGTACTACAAATACTGTACTACAAATACTGTACTACTAACTGTACTACTAATACTGTACTAAATACTGTACTACTAATACTGTACTACTAATACTGTACTACAAATACTGTACTACTAATACTGTACTACAAATACTGTACTACTAATACTGTACTACTAATACTGTACTACAAATACTGTACTACTAATACTGTACTACTAATACTGTACTATACTGTACTACTAAATACTGTACTACTAATACTGTACTACAAATACTGTACTACTAATACTACTACTACTACTGTACTACTAATACTACTAGTACTAAACTACTGTACTACTAATACTGTACTACTAACTAATACTGTACTACAAATACTGTACTACTACTATACTGTACTATACTGTACTACTAATACTGTACTACTAATACTGTACTACTAATACTGTACTACTAATACTGTACTACAAATACTGTACTACAAATACTGTACTACTAATACTGTACTACTAATACTGTACTACTAATACTAAGTACTGTACTACTAAATACTGTACTACTGACTACTATACTTGTACTACAAATACTGTACTACTAAATACTACTACTAATACTGTACTACTAAATACTGTACTACAAATACTGTACTACTAATACTGTACTACTAAAATTACTGTACTACAAATACTGTACTACTACTACTGTACTACTAAATACTGTACTATACTAATACTACTAGTACAAATACTGTACTACTAATACTGTACTACTAATACTACTACTATACTGTACTACTAATACTGTACTACTACTAATACTGTACTACTGTACTACTAATACTGTACTACAAATACTGTACTACTAATACTGTACTACTAATACTGTACTACACTACTGTACTACTAATACTGTACTACTAATACTCTTACTACAATACTGTACTACAAATACTATACTACTAATACTGTACTACTGTAGTACTACTATACTGTACTACTAATACTGTACTACTAATACTGTACTACTAATACTGTACTACTACAAATACTGTACTACAAATACAGTACTACTAATACTGTACTACAAATACTGTACTACAAATACTGTACTACTAATACTGTACTACAAATACTGTACTACTAATACTGTACTACTAATACTGTACTACAAATACTGTACTACTAATACTGTACTACTAATACTGTACTACAAATACTGTACTACTAATACTGTACTACAAAATACATACTACAAATACTGTACTACTAATACTGTACTACTACTAATACTGTACTACAATACTGTACTACAAATACTGTACTACTAATACTGTACTACTAATACTACTACTACTGTACTAATACTGTACTACAAATATGTACTACTAATACTGTACTACTAATACTGTACTACAAATACTGTACTACAAATACTTGTACTACTAATACTGTACTACAATACGTGTACTACAAATACTACTAATACTGTATACTAATACTGTAGTACTACTACTGTACTACTGTACTACATACCTGTATACTACTAATACTGTACTACTAATAAAACTATACTACTAATACTGTACTACTAAATACTGTACTACTAAATACTGTACTACAAATACTATAGTACTAAATACTGTACTACTATACTGTACTACTACTACTACTGTACTACAAATACTGTACTACAAATACTACTACGTACTACTAATACTGTACTACAAATACTGTACTACAATAACTACTGTACTACTAATACTGTACTACTAATACTGTACTACAACTATAACTACTGTACTACTAATACTGTACTACAAATACTGTACTACTAATACTGTACTACTAATACTGTACTACAAATACTACTGTACTACAATACTACTACTGTACTACTAATACTGTACTACTAATACTACTGTACTACTAACTACTGTACTACTGTACTAAATACTGTACTGTACTACTAATACTGTACTACTAAATACTAATACTACTAAATACTGTACTACTAATACTGTACTACTACTAATACTGTACTACAATATACTAGACTATAAATACAGTACTACAAATACTGTACTACTAATACTGTACTACAAATACTTACTGTACTACTAATACTGTACTACAAATACTGTACTACTAAATACTGTACTACAAATACTGTACTACTAATACTGTACTACTAATACTGTACAATACAGTACTACAAATACTGTACTACTAATACTGTACTACAAATACTGTACTACAAATACTGTACTACAAATACTGTACTACAAATACTGTACTACAAATACTGTACTACAAATACTGTACTACAAATACTGTACTACTAATACTGTACTACTAAATACTGTACTACAAATACTGTACTACTAAACTACTAGTACTAAATACAGTACTACAAATACTGTACTACTAATACTGTACTACAAATACTGTACTACTAATACTGTACTACAAATACTGTACTACAAATACTGTACTACAAATACAGTACTAATACTACTACTAAAATACTGTACTACAAATACTGTACTACAAATACAGTACTACAAATACTACAATACTGTACTACAAATACTGTACTACAAATACTGTACTACATAAATACAGTACTACAATAAATACTACTACAAATACTGTACTACTAAATACTGTACTACAAATACTACAAATACAGTACTACTAAATACTGTTACTACAAATACTGTACTACAAAATACAGTACTACAAATACTGTACTACTAATACTGTACTAGTACTAATACTACAAATACAGTACTATAAATACAGTCCTACAAATACTGTACTATAAATACAGTACTACAAATACTGTACTACTAAATACAGTACTACAAAATACTGTACTACTAATACTGTACTACAAATACTGCTACACTGTACTACTGTACTACAAATTACTGTACTACAAATACTGTACTACAATACTACTACAAATACTGTACTACAAATACTGTACTACAAATACTGTACTATAAATACAGTACTACAAATACTGTACTACAAATACTGTACTACAATAACACTACTAATACTGTACTACTAAACACTGTACTACAAATACAGTACTACAAATACAGTACTACAAATACAGTACTACAAATACTGTACTACTACAAATACTACTACAAATACTACAAATACTGTACTACAAATACTGTACTACTAATACTGTGCTGTACTGAATTCTGATATTTCATATATAATATATAATAAATGTTTAATACGTTTGTGTTTGTTCATGTTGTGTAGAAATTCTTCCTCTGAACAGAAACTGCAGTTTTATGTTTGTAAAAACACAGTGGAGCAGTTGGTGTCGGAACATCAGAGAAAATCTACACGTTCCACAACAAAGTTCAGTTCCCAAATTCACTGGGACAAAACAAAACAGGTTTATTTTTCCACTAAACTGTAACGCCGCCCCCTGCTGGTCACTGCTGGTCACTGCTGGTCACTGCTGGTCACTGCTGGTCACTCTGCCCCCTGCTGGTCACTGCTGGTCACTGCTGGTCACTGCTGGTCACTGTCACTGCCTGCTGGTCACTGCTGGTCACTGCTGGTCACTGCTGGTCACTGCTGCCCCCTGCTGGTCACTGCTGGTCACTGCTGGTCACTGCTGCCCCCTGCTGGTCACTGCTGGTCACTGCTGGTCACTGCTGCCCCCTGCTGGTCACTGCTGGTCACTGCTGGTCACTGCCTGCCCCTGCTGCTGTCACTGCCGCCCCTGCTGGTCACACTGCTGGTCACTGCTGGTCACTTCTGCCCCCTGCTGGTCACTGCTGGTCACTCCTGCCACCTGCGGTGCTGGTCACTGCTGCCCCCTGCTGGGTCACTGCTGGTCACTGCCGCCTCCTGCTGGTCACTGCTGGTCACTGCTGGTCACTGCTGCCCTGCCTGTCACTGCTGCACTGCTGGTCACTGCTGGTCACTGTGCCCCCTGCTGGTCACTGCTGCTGGTCACTGCCGCCCCTGCTGGTCACTGCTGGTCACTGCTGCCCCTGCTGGTCACTGCTGCTGCGTCACTGCTGGTCACTGCTGCTGGTCACTGCTGGTCACTGCCTTGTGCTCACTTGGTCTGCCTGGTCACTCCTTGTGTCATTGCTCCACTTTAACTTTTATATTTTATATTTTTAACTCTTGATTCGTGTCTGTGAACTTGTATTTGTGCTGAAGAAAGTTTAATCTTACTTTTTCATTTGGTGATTTTAATTCTTGATGTTGTAACTTTTCAGTTCAACACATTTTGTGTTCGACTCGACTCGTTCCAG